CCCTACCTCGCTAGCACCGTACAGAGTGACCCGTAATGATCTTGAACGTTTGTCACCTGGGGAACGGGTGTCCGTAGACGGCAGAGAGAGGGCGAGGATGTGGACCGTAGTCCAAGGACCTAACGCAAGGATTGCCATTAGGAGAAGTCGGCACTTGCTCTGTGGGCTAGTGACGGGTGGTCGATCTCGTCCACACTGAACTGTATTAGTCTATTCCGGTTGAATTCCGGCAGGACTTTGTTCCGAGGTATATTGGTGCCTTGGCTGGATTGTGAGCGCCTCGTCCGTGCAACATGTATGAGTTGGGAATGACGCACTGAGTGTACTCGGCGCAAATTTTAGGACGGTGCTTGTTCCTCGTTCGTTTGGGGAAAGCCGTGGATTTTTTGTTGTGCGTTTTTGACGCTGGTTCCTGGGATTTGCTCACTGATTGATGAGTCATCCGTCAGTTGTAGGATGTTTTTCCCACCACTTATCAGTGACAGCAACTGGTCGCGCGGAGGGGATAAACCAAGAATCATGGCTAGGGTTTCATCCAGCCCCTGGCCGGTGGGGACTGTTTCTGTAGCTAGAGAGTTATGTAGGCAGACAACAATCTAGGTCTTGAGGTTGTGCTGAAGAGGTAACTGGAATGTTGACTGGTGCCAAGTCACGAGTGTCAACGCCCATGCTTACTACCAATACGCTGGGAGACAAGTCGCAAGTGTCAACACCTTTACAGGTGGACTTCGTCGAGACTTGTAAGTCACTGCAGGCGGTTTGGCTCAAGTGCTAATGGGTCTATTTTTGAAGCCTCTTTGGAGTAACTCCGGCATTCGCTGCATACCCACTTCGCCTTGGTATGCGTAGTGTAAAAATGCAGTTCTGGCTGCGGGAGTTTGGCACAGTGCACATGATACAGTCGCTTGCAATTAAGACAACGTATATGTTGCGGCGACCCAGAGCGACAAACGCAACATCTACTGTTACCTAAAACTATTAGCATCATAAAAGACGTGCGGATGTTGCGAGAGTAGGCGGCACTTAGAGTACAGTGATGAGTCGGCGAACTGGGTGTATCGTGAACACGGAATAATCTAGCGTGAAGAAAGGAATTGGTGAAAACGAGTAAGCAAATAGACAGTGACAAACTAGGAGCAATTACAGGGCTAGAGGTAAGAATGACTGGGATGCTAGTGGGTTGAACAGTCGCGTTTCCAAACGCCGAAAACGATAGGACGTTGCGATGGAACTAAAACTTTGGGGCACTAAGCGAGGGATA